ATTTGTCTTGTTAGCTTTTCCTCTGCTTGAGAAATTATTTTGATTAGTGGAGTTTCTTCTGGCTTTTTTTTTTGTTTTGTTTGCTTGTCTAGTTTCAGACACAAGTGATTCTGAAAAGTAAAAATGTGGTATAGTTCTTGAACAAGTGAAAGGCTGGAAAAGCAGATTAAACATGGCAGATTCCATTTCCATTTGGATGGAATTTCAACACGTGTGGTATCTTCGTCAAAGCAATTATCTGCCTTATTTTCCTTTCACACGGATTGGTAGTTGCTGGTGTCACAATTTGAGACAAAGATCTGCAGGTCATTTCTTCACGTGTCTTTAATATCTCCTTTTATTTATTCTTTGTGAGATTTTTAACCTCCTGGAGGCACATAGTGATGCAATACTGCTGAGGTGCAAAAATCTTTTCTGCACACTCCATATAATTTAGGAAAGTGATGGTTGAAATACAAATTTATGGTCTGTTATTTATTAATGGCTAAAGGTAACTACAACAATCAACATAAACACTTGAACTGACACAAAGCATTATGCCTTAATTGTTCGTTCTGACCAAAAAAAGTCACTGAATCCTTTCATAGCAAAGATGATAATTTTCTTTTGCCAATACACCTGTAACTCAATCCACAGATGCCAGGGAAAGTTCTCATCATGTACAGTTCTGAAAAGCTAATATAAGATAATGTTCTATAGGGAGCTCATGTGCTTGAAATTTCAAATATACTTCTAATTGTTTAAATCTGTAATTCAGAAACATTGACAGCAACATCTCTCACTATATGCCAAAAAAGTATATTTTTTGTACAAGAACATCTTAAGAGCAATGAAATGATTAGTGGTGTTTAACATGCATAAGTTTCTTCATGGCGCATATTGAAAAAGACATTGAGCTTGCATAAGCACAACTACTCTAAATTAGTAATTCTGCTAAAATCTGTCATTTTTATCTTTTTGAAAAGTTTTATTGGTATCATCAGTGATATTTGCAGTCCTCTCTGTTCATTTTGCTTTTCCTTCATATTCAATCTAAACACTGTCAAAATAGGTGCTTATGGCTTTATTTTTCTTTTTCCATCTAAGAAATAGAACTTAAAACAAGCTGATTAGGCATATTCTTCCAGCTCTTTTTCCATGCTTTTCTTGTCCCAGTTTAGTAAACCATGTGAAGTAAAAAAAAAAAAAATTTGAAAGTTGAAATAGCTCCCTTTCTTTCTGTTCAACAGTTGGTGACTAATATAGCAAATAAAGAAAATGTGATGGAAGCTACAAGAAAGCCCAAGGTGTATGAAAGCTTTGAAGCTGTCTAGCAGAGGTAAAATTTCCAGTGTGATTGCAAAATGTTCTAAAGTGCAGTTCTGCAATAAGCAGGAAATGAAAGCTGTCCGATTGTTTCCTTTTTGTACAGGTGTGAGATGTTCTGATGACATTTTTGTCATTTGTTTCTATTTGACATACTGGACTTCTACTGCTTTTTACATGACCAACTGAACTTGAGGCATGGCTCATTATTTAGGGGTGGAATGATGTCAAAATTGTCAAAGGTCTTAAAAATACGTTCTGTTTGGATGAAATTCACTTTTTCCCTACCCACTCTCTGGGAGCTGGGAGTGCTGCTTTCACACTTGCAGCAGGAGGTGGTGGATTCATGCAGCCAAGGTCCTCCTTCCACACACTTGAAGGAATGCCTTGAACTTCCCACCTGCACTCACTCTTCCTGGCTTCAGAGGCAGCCATGTATAGAGTCACAGTCTGTTTCTTCTTGCAGGAAGGTGTTGCAATAGGAAGTTTAAAAAACCCAACACAAACCTCTTTCTTGAGATGTCACTTCTTTTCTGAAAGAAAAATACCAAGTTAATAGCTAGAGTGCATCAGTCAAACATAAATAAATATGGCTTCTTTTTCTTTCCAGATAGACATATAATTGAATATTTTGATCTTTTTGTGTCAATACCAACATGTCTTTTCATGTTTTTAACTCTTCATACATCAAAAATAATGTGTATCTTTTTAAAAAGTGGTTTATTTTCTCCCCCACTCAGCTGATTCTTATCTACTTTTTTATTTGTTGCTTTGGTGGTTTTTCTTTTAAAATTTATCTGCACATAACTGCCTGTTGGGTGAGAAATTTTTTTCCTCGTCCCTAACTTGGTAAGGCTGGACCCTTTGGAAGGCTGAAGAGGAGTTTTCCCTGGTCAGATTTACCTTTTGGGGGACTTTTCTGGGACAGATCCATTCCCTTGGTTTCCTTGGTCTGAATGAAATTCCCTTTCTTTTTCTTGAAAGGAAACATTTAAGGCTTGCCACCTTCTCTGTTCCTTACAGCTGTGTTCACCATAATTTTATATCAATAGGGGATTATTATTGCTCTGGTTTAATGTTTGGTCTGATTTATACCTTAACTGGGAGGGAATTCCTGGCTTTGAGGTGATTTAAGGCACGTGTCCTTAAAATCTGTCACTTTTTCAGATGCTCTTTTTGTGAAAAAGCTTTGGGGGTATACTTAGAAAGCAAGCACATACCTTTTCTTCTCTTCTATTTTGGTTTCTCAGAAGACTTGCTAGACATCCTTTAAAGAGGAACAGAGCCAAAACAGCTGAGCTTCTTTGTGTATTAATGTACTTCATTTTCTCTACAGAAAGGAAAGTTTTCCTGCTAACCTTATGAGCTGATATCATTGAACTGCACCTTTGTTCTGAGCAAATTTCTAATTTACTTTGAAAATAGGAATATTTTGTCTAAGGAAGGTAGTAAATATTTTCTTTTCCCTCAGCTAAGACAAGTACAAGGTGTTCAGGAAGAAGAGATGAGAGATGTTACAAATCCCGATCTGTCTTTGCTGGAAATTTAGCCACATGGAAGTTGCATTTATTTGGATTTTGGGGTTGTAGGTTTGCAGGAATTAGAAATGGAAAAGGTCAATGAGATCACCAAATCTATTCTTCTAGCATGGATTGATCAGATTTCAGGCAAGCAGTGCACAGTGATGATAAGTAAGACTAAAATATCTATGGTGTCTGGTAGGCTATTACTGGCTGAGCTGCTGAATCTTGCACAAGGAATGTTTTTGTAGCTATCCTTCTGTGTTCCTCCCTTGAACAATGATCTGCTAGGTGTTGTGACACCAGTCTGTACAAAAGCGCAGGCACTTTGATGTATTTCAGAAGCTTCACACTATGTTATCTACCAGCCAGATGATACTCCTGGCCTTGGTTACTATCCAGCCACAGCCATCAATTCTCTGAGTGCTACAGTTCTCAGTATGCTTCAGGCAAAACCTTTTTTTTTTAAAGGGCTGTGAGTTGTAACAGAACTGATGCTTTCAGAAATGATGAAGGCTTGAACATGGGGCCTCTTCAAACATGGTGGTAGGCTCCCATAGATTCTTCACAGAACTAAATCTCAGTGATTTCTTCCATACACATATAGGGCAAGCAAACAAGTCTTCTGTTTTAGGTGTCAGGGATAGAGCATGCTGCTGTGTAGACAGTGATTTCCAAATTCTATGGTCTTTGGAGAGATGTGTAGCTACAAAAGGCATTTAGACCTTAATAGGCAATTTGTAAAATTAGCATTAACCATAAGTAATAACAGTTCCAAGATTTTTCAGTTTTTTATTGAGCTTTGCCTTCAGCCTCTTCTGACAACTGACAGAAGTGTAATTAACCCCATTCACTGATTTATCATTCTGGCCCAGATTTTCTCCATAAAAACCTTGTGTGTTGTAATCATGCAACAGTCAGAGTCATTCACTTTAACAGAGGCATGCATAAGTGTGATTGGCACAAATCTATTGTAAGTGGTTTCCTTATACATCTAGTGTTTTTGGATGCAAATAGCCCATCATCTTACCAAACTTTTGGACAATATTGCTCATCTTAAATTTCAAGATAATACAGAGGAATATATAAATGCAGCCCTTGGGACATAGAGGACAGAAAAGGAGCATGTTCTGTTCCTTGACAAATATAGATCTAATGATCAGATATGTTGAGTTATGTGAAATCTCCTTCATTAATTTTGCCCTCTTTGGGATGTAGATTAAATAGACACTTTCAATTGCATGAACTGCTACTTTTAATTAGATTAATTTAGAAAAAGTAATAGATTATAATAAACCCAGAACATTTTGTTCCCTAATATTGTGTAATTTACTAATAATTTAATAAATTGTTTGTCTTCCTCTTGTTGCATTTCTCATACTTTCTCTCTTCTTCTGCTCTTTTTACTTTGTCTTCTGTTACAGTTTCAGATCCCCTCCTGTCTTACCCTTTAGCACACACCTCTCCAAACCTTCAGTGCTCTCACACATCCCCTGTCAGCTGAATGGGTTTCAGCTGGTTCTGAGCCTCATATTTGCCAACTGGCCAGGCAGAATGTGTGCTAACTGGGTAGTGGCAGGTCAGGGAGAACAGATCAGCAACTTCTGGGACAATAACTTATTGTTCTCGGAACAGTGCTGAATGCATAAGCGTTCACATTGCATAAAATCAATGTTGCTTGTGGTTCTGATGATTGATTGTCACAGCAGGGAGGCCCCAGACTGAATGGACATGCAGCTTGCCTCTTGGGAATAGAGAGTTTCTCCAAGATACAGCTATGTTTTGAGTGCATAAAGACAGAAAATACTGCGTTGTCTATGCTTCCTCTAGGGCTCCACACTTTCATATTTGGAGCTCTAAGACACTATGTCTGTGTTCAAGTGGACATGTGAAAAACCAATATCTGGTATCTCACCTAAATCCTACTGAAGTTACAGTGACAGAGAAAATGGAGGGAAAACCCACTCTCATTTCAAGTTTGTAAAAATTGTGCTGATGTAAAGAAAATCCTTTGTGAAGATTAATGATATGAACTTCCTTTCTTTTTAGCACAAAATATACCATTTATATTATGCATAAATTTATGCATGCTTGGGGTTTTTTTTGCTTCAAAGGGTGTAGTCTTCGTTGCTACACCTTGAGGAAACTGTACACAATGCAGTACATCTCTGCTCCATGGAGCCTATACTGGCCTATGAAGAGAGGCAGAGAGAACAGTGAGCTTTTGATCACCCAGCCAAGGCTGAACTTAGTGCTTCAAAAACCTGATGGGTTTTAGGTGTAGAAATGGCATCTGGTAGGCTGAAAGAGAGCTTGGCAAGAGCCCTGAAGGATTGCCACAAGAAGGAGGTATGGACATCTCCTTTCTTGTTTAATTCAGAGAAAATAAATACAGTGTGAAAATAGTCATATTAGTATAGTTTACATATTAAATAAGTAAACATATTAATATATTACTATAACACATAAAACAATGCTTTGCAGCACCTACTGAAAAAAGAAACATTACTTTTTCTTCAATTTCTGCTACTTCATGGGCATTTTTATCACATCCTAATTCCTGGGGTTTTGTGGGATTATTCTGAACTGAGGCAAAAGCTAAAAGCACATATACTGCCACAATGGTGTGCTAAGAACAGAGTACACATCCAGTATGTATACCAATATTACACCTATATATTTGTGTAAGGAAGGCAAAACTATTTGGTTTATGTCAAACCAAACAGTGTACATCTATGTTTAGTTTTAGTCCCATTTCAGAAGGATACCTTGTACCATTTGATTTCTTTGCTTTACCCTTTTTTTATCTCAAACTTCTCCTGAATGTTTTTCTCCTGCTGTGAGTACTCTTTCTATTTAAGTAGTTTGGTTTTGTTTTCCAAACTAGAATATCTGCTGAAAGGAAATACAAAATAGGAGAGAGACTTTAAAGGAGTCATGAATATCTGACAGAAGTGTCTCAATTTTCCCTATAATAGAAAAGGCATTATATCTTTCTATTGATATTTCCATGAATTTTTATATTTTCCTCCTTAGAATTGCATACAGTAGCTGAGATTGGGCTTTTCCCCCCATTAATATGAAACCTGAATAATTCCACAGTCACTTCATATTACATAATGACTCTGTATAGTCATTTATAGCCTATGTTGTAATCATCCCTTTATTGCTTTTTCTATTTTTAAAATGTCTCTGATCTTTCCTAAGGACTATTTTTAGTTTGCCAATAAATGTTCTTGTACAATTAGTACAATTTTGCAAAGTCTGGTACATATCTCTATGGAGGTTATAACCACAGAATTTTCAATTCCATTTCATGTACAACTTCTTATCCATCCAGTTCTCCTATCCTGCCTAGCTGACCATCTGCAGCATTTGTGCTCACCTGGATTGTTGTTGTTTTGGAGATGGTTCAAATTTCTGTTAAAACTAGGATTTCTTCTGGCATCTCATATTGAATATCAGAAAATTTGTACGTACTGGCCAGTTTTTATGGTGAATTAGTTCATGATGTAGGCAGAGGTAATTTCTAGTAGTAATAATGGTAGACAGTACTGGAAGCCATCTGGTTTTAGAGGGTTACTTAAATCTTTTCAGGTCACTGAGCTAAATGCTCTTTATTACCATGCTGCTTGGAGGAATTTCCTCCGATGCTCATGAAAAAATCATGGCCATTTGCACCAAAGATGTTCATGGCAGGGATGTAGCAGCAAGCCTTCAAGCCCAGAAGATGCATGTTTGCATCAGCTATATTTTGCATTCACACTTTGTTCTGCCTTCAGTAATTCAGCAGGGTGTTTTGCTCTCCTTTCAGAGGCATGTGCATCTTCAGAACATCTCCTCTTCCTGTGGTGACTTTTTATAAGTGCAGACAACTGAAATTTTGCATGTTTATTTAAAACAAAGTGTTTACTCTATATAGAAATTTAGTTCAGGTAAAACTAATGCTGTTGGCTTGAAATTGAAATAGAAAAGAATTCTTATTTTCCCCTGAGCCTCAGAAATAAAACTGTAGCATTCAGATTAGAAGAAACAAGGCTTGAGGAGTGAAATGAAACTCATTGTGGTCAAAGAAATGTCAGCTCCCTTGCAAACTGCATTGTTTGCATGGCGAGGCCTTGCATTCTGCTGTAATAGCTCTATTAAAATTATCTTCTATTACACTGGCATCTGTATAAAAGCACAAATGCCTCGAGCTGCATCTAATCCTTTATAATAGATCATAGTAGTTATTAGTCATAAGTGGCTAGGAATGAGGTGTGAGACCTGCTGATGACAGCTGCAGCTTTGTGATGGGTGGCATTTGTACCACCTGAATAGCTCCTAGTGGCATCATGACCCTTTGATGGCTCTTAGGTCTCCAGCTCCAGAGCTTTTGCTTGGCTGTCACAGGTATGCCATAGATGGGATGATGTCCAGAAGCACTGTTTTGCCAATATTTGTGATGCTTGGTTTCAGTGCTTTTATGAGTACTTGGGAAACGCCCCTTGGCAAGTTACTACACCTTTGACTGACAGGTAATGACTGCTACAAATAACAGTGCTTGCTTTATCTGTTTCAGTGAATGGAAAGTTAAATGATTCTTGGAAGTTGAGTTCTTTCCTACCTCATATGTATATTCTGAGGTTATCAAGACAATATATTTGAGAGTGTATGTGCATGTAGATGCACATACTTGAGAAATGGTATCATTTTAATGGCCATTACATTTATAATAACTGAAGTCTTTTTTGCACAACTTAAGCCAGATATTCATTGTCTCATCTGAAGTGGAATATGAGCAGGTCTTTGCCAAGGTTATTCAGGAGTTTTCAGCAAAATTTTTTTTTGTTCATTTGTGGAAGTCCAAACCAGTTGGTTTTTTCTCACACCACATACAGTGAAACTTTTTTCTTCTGGGCATGTTTTGACTCCAATATGGGATTTCTTGTTAAAAAAGATACACTCAGGCAGTCTGGCTGGCTTAATGCTTGCAACCTTCAGCTGGGAAGCGAAATTCTGAGGCTCAAGTCTTTGAAATCGGCAAAGCAGCAGCTACAGCCTCCTGTTGCCTGTCCTGTGTGATCACTGATAGGATCTTCCTCCTTGATAAAAAATGTTGATGTCGTTTGCTTTCTTTCCTAAAAAAAGCACTTTCCAAGTAGTACCACACCATGATTTTACATGAATATGGAAGGGATGAATTTGTGGTTTAGGACATTAAACTATAACGAGAAAGTAGACTTGGAATAAATCATCCATGAAACTTAAGAGTTATGAAAAAACTCGTGATCTTGTAGAAGTTCACTGCAATGCAAACAATCCCTTTTCATATGTTAAGGTGTTATATTACTCTGGCCCAGGCTCTCCACCTAGCAGTGAGTGATGCTCCTGCAGGACCAGCTGGCACAGGTGAGACAGAGACCATGGAAGATTTAGGCTGTGCCCTTGGTATGATGATGAAAATTTTCAGCTCTTCAGAACACATGGATGACGAGCTGAGATGTTCTGTTAAGCAGTGTGGACACTTGTTTAGCTCCTTTTTTGTGTGGATTTTGTGTGGATTGGAAACTGTTGCTTTCAAGAAAAAGATGTTAAATCTTTTAATTTTAGTCTGTAGGAAATATCTATAAAGGTTTGGTCCAGACAGGAGTTGAGGGTGTTTTGAGGAATTCAATCATCTCTTGGTAGAAGTCTAGTCAGTAGTGGCAGTACAATTAAAGACTGTCCACAATAAAATTAGGAAGAAAAAGAAGTGAGTATGTTAGGTGTGCTTCTTTGTCTTTTGCAGGCTATAAATACTGAACCAGTAATATCTTCCTCCAAAATTCATCTGAAACTATTTGTAAAAGAAGGACTAACACAAATTCATCCATGTAACATACTACCCAAAAATATCTTTCTCTTCAAACTGTAGGAATAAATGTAAGTAAATCCTGGTCCTACCCGATTACAATTAAAGGTTTGCTATTGAAACTGATTCAGGTCCTACCGTGTGAGATCATGGCACCCTGTGGGTGAGAAGTTTGGGTGAATTCAACTTTGCAAGAAGTCACAGTGGTTCCAGGACATTCCAGTGCTTTTGAGACATGCCTGGTTTTTCTACTGTCCTATGTTCACCTTTTCTCTTTTTTTTTTGTTTTATTTACTCAATATTATCTCCAGGCCATTTCCAACCCTCTGCAACCCTACTAGTCTCCTTTATTTTATGTTTCAAAAGATGATTGTTCCTGTAGACATGCTTCAGCCACATGCACTCTCCGGGATTCTAATAGTCCAGTGTTTTCCTTCTGAATTCAATGCCAGATTACTAAAAGCTGATGCCTACCAGTGAAATACCTCTGCTTACTAAGGTCTAGTAAGTTTTCTTGTTTTATTAGTAGTATCTCTCTTTTAACACTTCTTTGTGTTATCTTTCTTTTAATAGATTTTCTTGGTGAAAACATTACACTGAAATCCAGAGTTGTAACATTTATTACTATGACCCCTGGGTATGCAGGTCAGACAGAACTACATGAGAACCTCAGGTTCCCCATTCATATTTAAATATGACAAAATTAAAATTGGTCATTCAGTTCAGCAGTGTATTTCTGTATAGGGAAAAAAGAAATCTTTGGGTTTTTTCAGTAGTAAGAAAGATCTCTGAGGGACAAATTTGCTGGTTTGTAGCTACCTTCAACACAGAATTCAAGATCTCCTCTTTGCTAATATGTAACTAAAGAAATGGCTTTTAATGAGGAAATTGTGGAATTTTTTAGCAAAATAACATTTTTACTTTTTGTTCCGTTAAAACTGAGATTTAATGAGGTTTTTTTTCATTTGTGTCATTAAAATTTCTGGGCTTTTGTTCTAAAAGTTTGAGCAGTTATATTTAGAAAAGAAACAGTAAAACATTGAAAGACAACCAAGCCTTCATATAAAAGCACTAAAACTCTCAGGAAAAAAAAAAAAAGAAGCTTTTTTACAAAAAGGATGGCATTTTTAGCAGTGGTTGTGCTGCTCTTGGCTTCCAGACCCTGTACAGCTGCTGGCTGTGCCCCCAGAGGTCAGTGGCAAGTGCCACCACTGCAGCCTGTGCCTCCGAGTTTGGGCAGTACCTGTGTGTGTTACTCAGCTGCCTCTTTTGGGCTGCAATGTTATGGAATGCTAACAATTGCCAGTGCCTAATTAACTATTTTTGCTTTGAGCTAAGGTCCTTGTCAGCTTTGATTGACACTCTTAATTGTGACCCTCTTGAGCTCTGTTTTTAAAAATGTTTGCACACATCAGACATTTGGTTTAAATGACTAATTCTTGCCATGTTTAAATACTGATCTGTGTGTTTGGATTATGGTGGTTTTTTCTTCCCTAGAACCTGTGCCATGGTTGTCCCTGACACTGAACTGGTCTCTGAAATGATGTTGGCTGCTGAAGGGTTTATTGATGCCTCTGTTAGCCAGGAAATTCATCACCTTGTAACCTCTCTGCAGGGAGCTGCTCCCTGAACAGGGGAGGGTTCTTTGGGCTTCTGGATTTAATACATATCCATTAACACACACTCCATACCAGTGCAGCTGAATATTGTATAAAAGGAGGGATTTATGCATATTGTCTCATCTTGTGTTTTAAAGACACTTTAAATCACGTCCATCCTTAATAAATTGTCAGACATGAATTTGGAAAAAAGTGTCTTTTCTTTTTACCTTTGGATGTTTCTAATGTGTTAGTTTTACATTAAATAATTGTATATCAAAATGTCATACCTGGGGTGACTGACTGCATTGTGCTGCTGTGTAACACTCATGTAAATAACTCTCTTTTGGAGAAGAGAATAACAGAGTAGAAATTATTTTGAAAAACAGCATATTGTAGTTGTAATTGAGTGAACATGTCTTTAAACTTTCCCCAGTAAAAATAGTGACAACTGTTGGAAAAAAAGAGGGTGAAGAAGCATTTCTAAATAATTTATTATACTAGAAAGAATCCATATTCAGAAATATTACCTTAAAAATGCAAACCTAGGAACTGTATGATCTCTTCCCTGTATATGTGCTGTTTTAATCACTTCCAGCTGTATGATTTTTCACAGGATATTCCTAATATTCATTTTTATCAATGGAATAAGAACTTGAAGAACCCTTCAACCTTAAGCCATAAACTCAAATAGCAAGCAGGGCCTTTATGAAATAAAAATCAACTTTGTTTTCAAGCCTGCATAATTTTGAAATTATGTCTAAATATCCTGAAGATTTCCTGACACATTCTTGCAATTTTCTAGAGATAATGAAATTAAACCATGCATATCTAAAGATAATTAATATTGTTTGCTTCCCTAGAACAAGGATTCCTTGAGTCTAATGATTACTTTGTCCTGAAGGCCCACTCTGAATTGAGAAAAGATAATTTATACCGTTGTTTGCCACTTCAGTATTAATCATTGTTACAACAATAATATTAACACTAATGTTTGAGGCAAAATCTAGAATGTTCTTTGTTTACTTTTTCACTCTCATTTGTTTTACTTTTAATGGAAATGGGAGAAATCAAATCCCTCTGAGAAAAAAAAATCTAGATTTCTATATATAGCAGTTCAGAGAGTTCTGAGAGTATTGCTCCAGTGTTGGGACTTTTAGAACATTAAATATACCTTTGGGGCACTAGGATCCTAGCCTGTGGAAACTGCTGCAGAACAGGGTTATCAGGGCTTTCAGTGCATATGTTGTGAAGGGGCTTCTGGTCCTGTCATACCATGGCAAACAAAGTCCTTGTACACTGGACAAGCCACACACCAAGCCACACACCAGGCTGCTTTTTTTGAGATGCGTATCCTGCTCTTTAACACCCTTTCAGACAGCAAAACAACAACCAAAAAAAATTCTGGAAAAAAAAAAAAGACAAACCCCCCAAAAAACCCCCCACAACCAACCAAATCAAAGAACACCAAAAAAAACACAAGCAAACAAAAAATCCCTTGCCTAAATCTCACCAAAATATTATTAAGCACAGTATAAATTTCCTAGTTTCATTATCAACTTTGCTTAACTTCTTTGCCCAGATGCACCATTTCTAAAATCTGGTGGCTCCTTTTCAGTGCAGATAATTGGCATCTTTTTTATCTCAAAATTTTTTTCTTACTGATCATGAACTATCCTGAGTTTGAAAATTACTTTTATTTATTTATTATTGTTTATGATGTATTTAGTTTATTTGATTTACACTTATAGAGTTACCACTGTCATGGAAGAGGATAGAGGCATGGCATCTGTCAACTTAAAATGGTATATTTTTAAGTTGTGAATTTGCTTCTAGTTTTGTTGTTGTTTTGTTGGTTTGTTTTTTTGGGGGGCGGGGTTGTTTGTTTGTTCCTTTTTGGGGAGAGGGTGAGGGTGGAATTAATAATACTAATGGGCTGTATTTCTTTTGAATTCTTAGGTGTGGTTGCAGAATGTTTTCACAATTTACCCAGCTGGTAGCCAGTTATGAATAGGGAACCAAATGGTGGAATACAGAAAATTAAATAGATATGCATATAAATGTTTTTCAGCCTTTTATATTTTAACTGACCAAAAGCCACTAAAAGACTACAAGTGAATAAAAATATCTTGTGTTACTCTGTGTGTAAAATGATTGTTTTCTTCATAAGTATTACCACTTAGTTTTGTTTCGTGTGCTAACGTGACTAGTAAAAATGTTTTTATAGGGCTGTTATGGCTGGGAACTTCATGCTGTCAAGTCAGTTTTGGTAATTGCAGGGTCCCTGAAACAAGGAGACAAGAACAGACCTGAAGATTGGGAAAATACGTTTCTGCTGTTTTGCCTTTGAATGAAAGCAGAATCCTAAAAAAAATATTTAATGCTCTTGTGATACACTGTTTACTTTCCTTTTCTATGTGCTTATGTGAGTCTTAAGAGACTTCAATTTGCATAAAATAGTGACAGATGATATCCCAATTTTCACAGGCGTGATCAGTGACCTGTTTCCAGCTCTGGATGTTCTGAGGATGAGGAACCTACAGTTTGAGCAGATGGTTAAACAATCTACCCTGGAGCTGTAGTTGCAGCCAGAAGAGAACTTTATTCTCAAAGTAAAAGAATTCATTGTCTCTAATTACTCCCCTTAAGATTTTTGATCAAAATAATTGCCAAGTAATTGATTGTATTAGACACAAAGATTGTTTTTGAGTGTGTTAAAGCATTGATAAAGTGTCTCTCAATGACTGAGTATTTCAAAGGCATTTCATCACAGCAGCAAAGTTCCTCAGTATGATAAATATGTCCATAAGGAAATGTGTGTCCTGTTCGGAAAAGCTGTGTACAGTGACAATCTAATGTGTCAAAAACTTTTGTTTGTGCACAGTAAGAAGAATTTGTATTTGGTGGCGAATTCATTGTTGGTCAGATATTTATAGTGAGGTAAGAGAACAAAAATATATAAATAAGAGGGTGTGGATTTGGAATGTGCATGGCTACATGTGACTTTTGTGTCCTCTAGCTTTAATACAGAATATAATGCACGTGCATACATGTATGTGTATGCAACAATTAGTTGCCCATAAGCTAAATTTAAGCACTAATTTAGTTTAATTACAGATAGGATGAAAAGTGAAACATAGAAACAGTGGTAAGTACACAGACCAAATAAAAAGTGCATATATTCCCACTTTTCTTCAAGGAGCATCCACATCTGCTGTATGTGACAGCACACTCCTTATCTTTATTGGGGTGTATTGGAAATAACCAAGCTGGTTGAACGTGACTGATCAGAAGATTTATAAAGGATTTTGTGCTCTTCTATCTCTTGTTTCATTATCCTGAAGGGTGAAAGACAATAAGGTGTGCCTTGGGGTATTATGAACTTTACAATCAGCCTTCTACAGAGTATTTTGTTTCCTGCTAACTGGGTAAATCAGAAGACAAGCACTGAGGATCATGAACTTGTTCCTGTTAGGCTTTGGAAAATCAGAGTGGCTACTCTTCACGAAAACAGAAATCCACAAGCAGCCAAGCTATTTCTATTTTGTGACTCATACAACTATTTCTTTGGAAGCAATGTATTACTTTAGGAGACTGACTTTGTATTTTTATGAATTACAGCTGTCAGCTGATTGCAGAGTCCACTTTGCCAAAGCAATGGCAAAATTGTGATAACAGTTCTGTATCCTTGGATTTTCACAATCCTGCTGGACTGTATGGCTGTCTGTGCAAAATAGGATTTGTTCTCACTCACTGAGGTAACTACTTTAATTCATTTGCACTAACTCTCTTATTATTTTCTGAGAGCCCATGTTGCTTGATGCAACATTAGCTTTGTTGAGGCAAATCTGCCAAGAAAGTGCAAACATATTGTTTTCCTATTAAAGGGAATAAAAGCATGGCGGGGGGGGGAAATCTTGTGAATAATTGTGTCTCTGTGATAAGAAGTACAACAGGAGTGGAAAGATGCTCACTGTGTGTCCCTTCTGTGTGGTAGGATGTTCAGCTGGAATGCGTCACTCTGTGTTTGTCGTTGGAATTGCAGGGAATGGAAAGGGTAAGGTACCTGCCTGCCTAGGTAGCATGTTTTCCATCTCACATTGTAAAGAAACTGCCATGGCCCTTGCATAAAAAATCCTTCATGTTGCCTTTGCCTGAGGCTTCAGGGTAATAACCTGCTGCTGAGGTTACTCGGTCAGCCACATGATGAGCAATGATGAAAGCTCAAATGTTGCAAGCAAATTCTACATTTTATGTGTTGTTTGCATGTCCCAAAGGACAGTTAATCATGGCATGAAGTAATGAACATTCAATTTGACAGATAGACTAAGTAATACTTTGTTCTGGAAGGAGGAGCAGGATGTTTTAATTAGGCTTCTAGAGAGACATCGTGGAATTTCTTGCCAAAACACTAGACGAGTATTCTAATACGTAATGATTGCCTATTTCTGCTACTAAATGTTGGCAGCTGCATAGATTTTCTTCTCCACTTAACACTTTATATTAGAACTGAGTGCAGAATACAATTATTTCAGACTGGGAGTCTCCTTTCCTATCCTTAGGCTTAATAGAAATTTGGGACTAAACTAGCGGGGAGACAAGAGTAATTTAATGTAAACTGTTGGCTGAGTGCGGGGATTCAGACAGAGATTCTGTACAGGAAAAAGAAAAAATCCCTACTATATGAAAATGGTGTCACCAGCATTCACCCTGTTCCTTCTCTTCAGGTTCTGAAAGTTATTCACCACATGTATGTAAACAGAAAAGAAATGCCAGTTTGGGATGAACTTAATGCAGAAGTTCTGACAGCTGCTGAACACTGGTTTTATGCACCAGGAAATCTGAGGGTGGAAAGATGTCAAGAAACACATGTGTTCCTGCTAGGACGTCATTCTCCATCCAAAATGGACAATACCAGAATTCAGAGACCGTGTAAGAAAATTCTTTTGCTGAGTTTTGATGCAATGAGACATGGGTGCAGAGCACTGGTGGGTCTGGAAAGGCTGGAGGGCAGGGCAGGATGCTGGTAGACAGAAAGTATTAGCCTGAACAATGCTGATCCAGCTGCCCTGAATGGCCTGTTATTTTCCCCCCAGACCCATGGAACCTCCCTTATCTCACCCATATCATTAAAACTAATGACAGACTCTCCTGTAATCAAAACAGAATTAGGTCACTATTAGATAAAATAATTATACTTTATATATTATAATAATACAGCAGTCATTTTGCTGTATTGAGTGTTCACTGAATTTTTTATTATTTTAAATAACCACCTAATAAACAAACGAAGAAAAAATGGGTTTGATGTTACAAAAGCTTCTTGTTTCAGTGATGTGTCATCTGAAGTTTTAATTGCAGTGCAACGTTGTTGAAGCACTTAAGTGATAAGATTCTATTGAAATATAATTTGCAGGTCTCCTGTCATCTTCTCTGAGACAACAAGCCAGTATGACCCATGAGGGGCCATAAAGGTTTGTTTTAAATAGGGCTATAGATCCTATGTAGACTGAGTCCCTCAACACTGTTATGGATGCTAACAAAGTGAGCCATTGAGACACAATTATAGTGGGCTTCTCCTGTTTTCCTGTTTTCCCATTTTCTTCTTCATCAATTTTTCTGGAGACAGTTTTGCAGTGTACATTTATTTTTTCTTGTATTCTTATAATTTCTTTGGTTTTCACTATTTCTAACTAATATTTTAGTACCTAAATAACACTTTGTCTTGCCTATTTGGCACAAGAAAAAGCCTTAAATTATCCTATAAATACTAAAATTGTTTGATTTGTATGATTGTTCCTCCTAGATGTGAGCTGATGTAATTTGAGATATCAATGATAAGATTATTGAAACTGGTATTTGGAAAGCCTCTCAGTAAAATAGATTTAAGATTTCATTATTGAAGTCGTTGTATCACTGTATGATGAAAGGCTACTGTAGGAAATCTAAATCAGTCAAAGCACAGTAGCATACAGACTTTTCTTTCCTTCTTATTAGTTATGCAGCTAAACCAATTTTGTGGGCTCTCTGAAATGCTGTCATGTTATGAAATCCAAATCTAAGATCTGAATGCAACCTTTGGAAAGTGACTGGAGTTTTATGCTTTCCTGCCTTAGAAACCTAAACCCTAGTAACCCTCTGGTTATTCAGCAAGGTGCCTGGTGAGGTGAGCCACATAATCTGACTTTATCTGAGAAACGTAAAGTGGCTTTTTCAAGAAACATTTTTGAGCACCTAAAATTAAAGTCCTGCTCTGAATCATCTTTTGATTATTTCCATTGACCTTGAGAGATTTTTTTCCCTCCTCTCCTTTTATCTGTTTTCAGGAGAATTCACATCAGTGAAGCAGTCTCATCACCTTTTAATTTAAACTCCAACAAACTCATCCAAGGTCAAGTAAAACCTTTTGAATTTGTCATCTTCTGTGATTCTGGTAAAAAATTCTAGGCATGCTCAAACAGGGTTTGTTTAGCTTGTTCAAGGAATAGTGTATGCATTGTGTTGCAGATAACCCTCTGTGGGGCTGTAAGAAAATAAACATGATTGCCATGACCAAGTTCTTGTTAAACAGCATATCTTAACTTTCTTTTGCTGAAAAGTTTATTGATGGCTTCTGGGTTCTGACCCTTATAAGCAATGCCTATGACTCTGTGAGTGTGGCTGCTGTTTGTGGTACACATTTAAGAGCTGCTGCCCCATCTACAGTATCCAGAGCTGGTATTCATCCCCTGAAACCCCAGGACCTGGAGCAGAACCTGTGAGTATCTGATGACATTAGCTGATATTTTTAACACCCAGTTTGAAGAGTAATTGGAGCAAACATCATTATTTATACTAAATCTTCCTTCTAAATTTTATTCTGGTAATTTATTATTTATTCGGTGGCCACATATATCCTCAAAGAGGCATTTCAGAGAATTTTGCCATTAGTGGGGGTTTTTTTTCATTAAATGGGGTTTTCTGCTCTCTTACATGTACTGCTAAATCAGTGCAGTAGTGTGGAGGGCTGACTGGTTGAATGCCAGGTGCCCACCAAGTTATTATTACTCCCCCTCAACTGCTGGACAGTGGAGAGAAAAATATAATGAAAGACTCTTGGGTCAAGATAAGGACAAGGAAATCAAATACCGGGCACACTGTCATGGGCACAACAGACTCAACTTGGGAAAATTAGTTTTATTTATTACCAATCAAAACAGAGTAGGGTAGTGGCAAAAAAAAGAATCTTGCAAATACCTTCCTTTCACTCTTCCCTGCTTCTCAGTTCAACTTCACTCCAAATTTTCTCTACCTGTTCACCCCATTAGCACTGGGGGATGGGAAAATGGGTTGCAGTCAGCTCTTTGTTGTCTCCTTTCCTTCCCTCTCAGGGGAAGTATTCCTCACACTCTTCCCCTGCTCCATCACGAGGTCCCTCCCATGGCAGACAGGCCTCCATGAACTTCTCCAGCTTGAGTCCTTCCCTCAGGCTGCAGTTCTCCATGAACTGCTCCAGCATGGGTCCCCCATGGGGTTACAAGTCGTGCCAGCAAACCTGCTCCAGCCTGGGCTCCTCTCTATGCAGGTTCACAGCTCCTCCCAGAAACCTGCCCTAGCACAGACTTCCCAAAGGATTCCAGCCTTTTTGGGGAGTCTACCTACTTCTGTATGGGGCACCTTCTATCCATAGTAAGAGAAATTCAGGCTCTAAGTCCATTTAAATCATTGAAAATAATTTCCACAGCAACTGTACACCACAAATTGAAGCCTTAACATTTTCCTATGGCCACATTTGTGCCAGCTAATTTAGCTTCACATAAACAAAGTGTATGAGATCTAGAGGAAGCAAATCACTTCATCACCTTTCCACTATGCTTTTGAACAACTTATAAAGTTAGAGGTATATATGTGGAAGACAAATTGTAGAAGATATGATAATATGATATATTCTTGTCAGTGGAGGAATAGAAAGCATGAGCATAGTTGTAATTGCCTCAGTTTGAAGGTATGGTTATTTTTTTGCACTTTTTTTTATGTGTTCTGCACAGGATATTCTCAAGTGATTCATGGTTTTGATTGCATTAACTTGTATTGTACAGCTTTTTAATGCTTAGATGAGTAGGAATTTTCCTGGAGAGATGAGAAGTCTATGGACTTAGAAACATGGATCTGATGATCAAAAGATATAATCCATTATCAACTCTCCTGTCGTCTTTGAGGGTTAATATTTGATAGGAAAATACAGAGCTTGGAAAAGAAATATTTATCAGGCAAGGAAGCTTTTAGGTGCTCACAGTAAGCAAAGCTGTTTATTGCCAAATGTTTGTCCAAACTATTTTAGGTAAGGTGAAAGCCAGGCCAAAAATTAAATTGAAATAATTGAGAAATTAAACCATCTACGTCTTTCACCAGTCTTTGCTTCTTTGACAGTTATAGGGAGACTGGTATTCTGTAAAGCCTGAGGTGGAACAAATGCATTTCAGCTACAATCAGATTTCAAAAGCTTCCTATTAGAAGAAGTTGAATAAAAATTTTCAAGTAGAGATACTGAGCAAAAAATAATACAGTAAAAATATTTATTTTAGTAATTCTTTGAGAATAAAAGAATGATGTATCCTGTTTCATCACTTTTTAGAATTTAGTCCTAGCCAGAGAGAGAGACAGAAATTGCAGTTTGCTTTTAAAAGCAAACTGTGATGTGTGCAAGGGTTTGATAGGGTTTTTCCTTTTCAATTTTAGTCAGTCTTTGTTCACACATTTTAGATTGTACATCTCCAGTACTTTATTGATTTACTCATAATAAAAGACATAGCAATTGGAAATGCTTGTTGGAAATTCTGGAAAAAGTGTTTATAGGCAATCGGCTTAGTGCTGTCTCTGAAGACAACCTCCAGACCAACAATTCATTCAACTACTGCACATCAGCAGTGCTCCAGAGTGAGTTCCATACAGATGTGAGAAACTTATCTTCCCTTACCAGCAGTGATAAAATATATTCCACAGTTATTACAGTCTTACCACATCCCTTTGCTACTGCCCTTCTCTGGGCCTTGGCAAAGCTCATTGCTTTGCAGACTGGAAGACTCTGAAAGTTGTGGCAGGCAAGGGGAAAGGAGGGGGATGAAACTGCTTGGTGCAAAGTAGAACTGACACTTGTGCTCCCACAAGTCACTGTCTGATTAGAGATGAGAAAATTTGGCTTTATCTCTGTTCACAAGAAGCCTTGGGCCAGCTTTGGTCTAGCCTGGCTGTCTCTGCATGGTGTCTGTAGGTGTACCAAAATGGACAGTCAGAAACTGAGTTTACTTTTTCTAGGTACCATAAAACGTCCAAGGAGGGTCCAACCCCTGTCTGGTGGAGTTGGGAGTCTCTGTAGATGAGATGGATGCAGATCAAAGGAAATGCTGATATAACACACAGATGAAGAGGGCTGTATGTTGGCCAAAAATGTTATATTGGTGGGAGATTTTGGAACAAGAGAAGTCAGACAGTCAAAGCAAAATAGGCTCTTCAAAGCTGTCTGTTTTGCTCTTCGTGAAGAACACAACCAAGGGAGAGCCCAGCTGTTGCTGGATATGCTCTCTTTCCCATCCCTTTTTTTATCCTTCCTTGATAATTGAAATTGAACAGGAAACAACTATACAGAAAAAACTATGTGCCCTCATTGCTGCACAACTTTTCGTGCCATGAAAAGCATTAGAGAAGTAAGTTAATAGACTGGCTTGTCCTTTTAAATAGGGGGGAGAATTTTTTTTTAAATCAGTTTTAAAAACTTTATACGATTTTAGAAATATTCAGATAAAATTTTAAAAGCATTTAAGTGTGTTTGATGTGTAATTTAATTGCTTTGGAGATCAGTTGTCTAATTTTCCAGCCAATCTGCATTGCTGCTGATGGGTTACATTTTTACCAGGTTTAAAAGAGTAGGTATAAATCCACAAATCTTAACTGAATAAGCTTTTACCCTGTTTTTTCTTTCATTTCTTGTGTTAATTTCTTCTGTATTCACATCAGATAAGCAAAGACCATTTTGTCTTCTTTATACCTTAGTTAATTCTTTGAAGTGTTTCCAAATTCACGTTAACATAGAATCCTGCATTAACAGAACTTAATCGCCTTTTTGCCCATCAAAATGAATGGAAAGATTAGGAGACAAGAAATTTGCTGTGCGTCAGAGTGAAATCATGAGCTGTTGTAAACTGTCATAGCTCCTTTAATGGGGAATCAGCCTTAAAAGGCTTTCAGAAATTCCTCTGATCAGGAAGGGATTTTTCAGCTAATGACTGCCATTCCAGTAGCAACCATGGCCATAGCTCTAGAGTACAAAAGCATGACACTTTCCATTGCAAAGAGCAGCTGTTGAAAGGAGTTTCTGGGCAGCAAAGGCTGTGTATTCTTGCAGGAAACTTCTTAAATAATCCAAAGATGTGAAGTCAACATCACAGGGGCTTGTTCTCCAAGCATGTTACACCCACCAACAGACTTGTGGCGTAAAATTTGAGAGTTTATGAACCTTTATGGATTTGTTGTGAAATTTTAGTGGTATTTCTTCACATTTTAAGTCAGTGCTGTACCCCATCCACTGCTCCTTCTAAGAAAAATTGAGACATGTACAAAGCATTGGACTCACCTCATTGTCTGCAGCTCTTCCTTCTTTCCACTTCAGCAAAGTTTCTCTTTTTAAATGCTTTTCTACCAACTCCCTCTGCTAATCACAGCAGGTGAAGAACTGCTTGACAATCCAGAAGCAAGTATATAGTGTTCCCTTTCCATTTTGTTTACAGCACTGTCTCTGTGAGCTGTGATGGAATGATTTTGTACTGTCATGTGTAGATCAAAATGACGGCCTCTTACGTTATTTTTGTGTATGTATGTACAAATATTTCTTCCTGGAAAATGCATTCAAGTGATGCCTTGAAATGCCTTCATGTGTCTTAAGCCATCACTTTAAGCAATTATTTGGAACAGTCAAGTTGTGGATCGTTTTCATAATGGAAAGAGTCATTCACAGCAAATTGCACAAATGAGCAATTTAAATCAAGTCTTAGTTCATAAAAAAGAGCTTAAGAGATGAACTTGTTAAAGTACAGTGATTCATTACTGTTCATTGCTATGTTCTTTCCATAGTTCAGAGGTTAAAAGATTTTTCTTACAGATCATATCACTTTTAATCTGCAGTATTTTCTGTCAGTTCTCATCTTATCTGTAGCCACATAACATTTTTTGAGGTATCTGCTAGAGTGGGTGAGATTAGCATGTAGTGTAGGGTTTTATTTAGCATTCCCCAAGGCTTATGACTCACCCCCTCTGCCTCTAGAACAGCAGAAAATTTCAAAATGTTGCTTGATGGAGGCATGTTCTGATGCAAACTAATATTGGTATATTAATTCTGGGGTCCTCAATAATATTTGTCTGGAACACTGCCACAGAGAGCAAAAAAGTGCAAGTGTTTATAATTGTGGACATAATTTAAAATTTAGATAAGGTTAAGGATCAAGATGATTCCTAATTTGGGGTTTATTATTATGGGTACATATTGAGCTAAAAGAATAAAATTGTCATTTATATAATTAAGAGACTTTAGGCCTTTCATATGCCCATAATTCCTGCAAAAATTTTTTTCCCTTCTGTGGTAGGGAGGCAGGGTAAGTGCAATCACAGCTTTTGCCTCCAAAATTTATAATCATCCAGCTGCAAATATGTTGAGGTTCTCTATTTCTGTCCTGTCTTGCAACACACCTTTACTCTTTACCTGATTGTCTTATTTCTCCAGTCAATAACCATCCTTTCAGATGACTGTGACAAGACAGAAATGGCCTTGGAAGCATTTGTTGCCTTTGTTGGGTTTGCCAGTCAAAATCACTGTAGAGGTTTGCAGACGATTCATTTCACTGAAAAATCTGTGACAATGCTTCTGTAGTCCTACTGGAAACTGCTTGCAGTGATGTATTTGTTTATTCTGCTTTGCCCAAGGAGCTAACAAGTCTGCTGCTAGCCAGGACTGTGGCAGTGCTGTGCTGTCCAGGCTTCAGCTGTCCCTGTGCAAGTGCAGTTTCCATTTCCTACAAGTTCTCATGAACATTTTGCCCAGTTTTTAAATAAGCAATACAGGTTCAAAACCATATACTTACGTTTCACTCTTTTTATTTTTTTTGCCCTACCCAAAGTATTTTAACACAGTGCAATAGAAAAAAAAAATTAAAAGTCTGTAGTCTGAATTTTTTCCTCTTCTACTTATTATACATGGAACTGATAATTATTTGTTTTTAATACATATAGGCATTTCTTACTGACAAATATTAAAGTCTTATTAAATTCTGGCTTTCATCATCTCAAAATCAATAGCAGGTATATCAACAATTCATTATATTATTGACTGGGCAAAAAAAAATCTGGGTTAGTTGTACAAAACTTTTGAGAAATCTTTTTCCTCTTGCAGAACAGTATTGAGTTTGCTGCTGTGCTGTGAGGATTTTAAACACTGTATTCCCTAAATGTTTTATAACCACCTTTGGTTCAAATCCCAGCTCTGAGACAGAGAGGATTTAGGCTGCTTGTTGAAGATGAGAGCCTCAGTCACTGTGATATACTGAAGTTTTCCTTGAAGTCCACCTATTACTGTGGTTTTATTTTGCAAAATACTTTCTGTGATAATTTGAAGAACAAAAATATATGACCTAGGAAGGAAGATTGTTTATTAGTTTTCCAGTTCGGCTTTAATAAATTCTTGGTGATTTCTGCAGGTTTCTCTTTCCATGCATAAAATTGAAAGAGTGCAATTAGAAATCAAACTTCTGCAGATGATGAATCCGATCTTCTGTCTGTGGAATACTTCACTAAGTGACAAAAGTTGAGGATCACATTGTACCAGAGTTCAGCATTATAATAATGCATAATAAAATTTTCTTCTGTATTTTCAACATGACTTTTCAGCTTTCTGTAGCTTTTTGTCCCCTTACACATCTAAGGGCAGTAGTGCAGTTGGATAAAAATTGTATCAACACAAAGTTTATGTCTCCATATTTTACATTTCTGATGAATACATAAGGGTTTTTGAGTTAATTTGTTCACTGTTGTAGTAAATTTTTAACCTGATGATCTGCATTAACTATTGCATAAGCACCTCATTTGGGGGAATAGGCTGAAATTTAGTACAATCATCTTGATATGCCTTTGTCTGGGAGATGATATTGCATTAGATTCTTGATTAAATGTCCTGATTAAATTATATCTATCATTCATATTTTTGCACTTTACTTATTTCGGTAAAGACCTTATTTAATCCTTCCCAGGAGAAGGAGAAAATAATCTACTCACTGATTAATTTTCTGAGTGTCAGGATACCTGGGGATTTCACACGTTCAAAGCATTTCAGTTTCAAAGGATACAGATGGATATGCTGTGAAATTTTCAACAGCTGTGAAGTAGTCAATCAACTAAATCAGCAAGACTTTTATGGAATTCAGAATTCCAGGGTGATATAGTCTCAAAGATTATCTGTGAGTTTCACTGATTACTAAGGACTTCAATAGTTAAGAAAACCTTGACCTTGTACATGGTGAAATGTTCCATAAATTTTATCCAGCACGATTTTGAATTCTTGATTTTGTTTAATTTCAGTGTTGCTTTGTATGGTAATATTTTTTATGACTTGTGTTATATTTCAGGAATGTTTGGAAAAAAACTGGAGAGAGAACATGGTCATACCTATGTTCCAGTAAAAGAAGGAGAAACTCTTCCATTTTATTGGTGATTTGAATATGCCTGAAGCGGAGAGATATGGGATGATTTGGCCTCATGCATTGATTTGGCAGCATATTGATTTTGGATCAATCATTGGTTGATTGGACCAAATTACTGGTGAGCATTTGCTTCCTAACTAATGTTATGATATCATTTTTGTCTTGTGGTCCATGATGGCAACCCTAAACCACAGAAAAAACAGCAAACTTCAAAATTAATTGATTAAAGAGAAAAGCGTATGCTCCTGGGAGCTTATAAACCGTTTTAGAAAAGAGAAGCAGAAAGTGAAGGGGCTATGGAGTCTTGGAAGGGAAGTGTCCTTCATCTGCTTTTGATGGAGCTGCTGGATGTTGGCCCCACTGGTTGACAATAAAGAGCCGGGAGGGCTGAGATACAAGAACAGATTCCCTAAATTGCAGGCGTTTAGCCTCTAACACCCTCTATGTTTTCTTCACCTGTAAAGGCAACAGACAAAATCCATAGAAACTTTATTATACTGGTTCAAATGAACAATCTTTTTCTTCCATAAGAATAAAAACATAGAAGATGGCCACTGAAGGATAATTCAGTTGATTTGGGCAATTAAGTTAAATACAGAATCACAGAATATCAGAACTGTTAGGGTTGGAAGGGACCTCTGGGGATCATCTAGTCCAAGATGCCAAGGCAGTGCCACCTAGAGTAGGTGACAACCTTCTTACTTTCCAAATGACAATTTAATTTTTTGGCAATTAAAATATATTGTATTCCTTAACCAGAACCTGTGTAAATATAAAGTTTCCAGTCCAAAGTCAACAGATTCGTGTTTTAGTTCATTCTGTTACAGGAAGAACAATATTCTGTGTAATAAATACACATTAGATACACATTAGATTCTTGTTCAGATACAAGCATGTCATGAAAGAAAATATTTTGAATGATCTGTACTGTTCTTGCATCTTTTAATGCAGATGAATTGAATAAATTTTTTCACTAGGCCATACTTCATCCCATGAAGGAATGACGGCAGGCATCAGCTGAATATCTTGTTAAGGAACGAGATGTAAAGAGAGAACAAAAAAAACGGAAGTGACTACTCAAATCTGAAACATCTCTGGCTTGGAGAAATTGGTCAGGTCTAATTCAGTGACATGCAAAGCTATCGTCTTAATGCTCTCCTGTTTTCTTCACAAAACTATAATATTTTTGAGACAGGAAACCTTTTGTTATTTCACAAAGATTTCGGAGTTAAGATCTCAAAATCTTTAGTGCTTAAAAGGGTTGATGTTTCTTTCTTTTGAATGGTTTTGAATTCTCTTAAAACAAAACCTTGCCAAAAATTAAAAATTTACAGTTTTACAAAACAGATCAAATCAAGAAAAATGCTGACTATGCAGTTCAGGAATTTATTATAACTACTTAAGAATTCTAAAATAGAGTACAATTCATTGCAAACAATGGAAAGAAAGAGAATGCATTATTTTATGAAGTTTTTGGAAGGAAGGATTTGTTGATGTGAGCAGGGAATAACTACATTTTTCATGAGTTTTACTTTTACAGTATTTCTTTTAAAGACCTGCTTGTCCTAGTTGAGAAGTATGCTAACATCTAAAGAAACAAGATTCTCTTCCCATTTGGACAACAAGAATACAAATTGCCGGCAACTCAGAGCCCTTTTTATAATTTTTATTCTATTTTATTTCACCTTTTAGGTGGCCTCTTTTTAATTCACCAGAGGCTGTGTCATCTGGAGAGCCAGAAAGAGTATTGGATAATGCAGCAAATAGAGGAGCACGCCCTTCATACTCCATGATGATCTTTGCTGGTTTTTTTCTTATTGAGATCAGCTCATTTTCCTCTTATCTGTGATGAGTGATGATTGTGTGCATTCTCAAACTGATTTGTATTTTTTTTGACCATGCTTTACTCATCTCCTTTATTACCAGAAGCTTTGTAAAAATGTAGCATCTTAATTGCAACAGAAATTTTGAACAAAATACTATGTGATAGAAAGTGTGTGTTTATTCTTAATTTTAAAATGTCAATCCCAATTCAATACTTCTGTGGATATTTGCATCTCAGATTTCCTGTACGACAGAACTGTTGATTCTTCAGCTGAGGTTAAGCCTGGAAATGTGCAGTGCTTCAGTGTTTTGTTACTGATATTAATCAAATTATATTTTCTTTCTCAACTATGATAGGCAGAAGCTAACTATTAAAGAAATTCATAATTTTCAGTATGTTGCCTATATGAATCCAGCTGCTGGAAGCTTCATTATCAAGCCTAAGTTCCAGCTAGGGTTTGAAGTGTCATATTATAGCAATCCTACACTTAATACATTAAATAATTACTATTTAGCTTTCCACTACAATAGGTAGCAGATGAAAGGAAATAAGAGAAAATATAGTGTTTGAAAATTTAGTAGAGGTTGAAAATCTTGCTGTTCTTACAGCTAAACCGAAAGAGACACACTAGATTTATTATGAGTGTTCCCTGAATTGCAGTCTCATGTGGTCATTCATCTGTCAGATGTGCCCTTGGGGCTCATAACCAGACATGCAACTGCTGTGGAACTGCATCAAGAATGAGGCAAGAAATGAAGAATTTTCTGTGACACACAAGTAGCTGGATACTCACCAGGCTGTATTGTCATTTAACACTTCATTGACTCTTATCTGCTATCTGATGGTAGAGAATCTTCATCTCCTTTTCCCTTTTTATTTTCAGGGACATTTTGCAGAATTTGCCTCCAACTTTATTTCTTCAGATTCCCTGATTACCATCTACAGAAAGATGGTTTGCTTCCACTTCCAGCAATAAGCCTTTATTCCACCAATAATCAAGAATATTTGAGCCATAGGACATATGTCTTCCCCAGGCAGGGATTCAAAACTTCCCACCAACTGATATGAAGTTCCACTACATCCTTAATATGAGAGACCTCTCCAATGGCTTTCAGGTCTATATCATGGGCTAATGTACCTGACAACACTCCATTATTGCTGATCTTTACAGTCTAATGATGGATGTTGGATTGTGGACTGATGAAGAACAAACACTTTTTGTACAAAGCAGAAGATAGTCCCTGCCCTAAAGTGACCATGGTCAGGTAGGTCAGATGGGTAGAAAGCTGAGACAGAAAATATATTTAGTGGAAATAGAGCAGTGGTTTGCAAAGTTTGCTGTGTTTACTTTTTTTTGCTTTTTGAGAAGAGAAAGTCAAAATTTCAAAGGATAAAACAAATTTTGGAAGACTAGGTAGAACAAAAGAGAGATTGAAGAAGCTCTGAAACAATCATGAAATCACAAAATCATTTAGGTGGCAAAAGACCTCTAAGATCAATGGCACCAGCCATTAGTCTAGCACTGCCATGTCCGCCCTTAAACCATGTACCTAAGTGCCACATCTACACATCTTTTAAATACCTCCAGGGATGGGGACTCAGCCACATGCTTGACAACCCTTCCCATGAAGCATGGTCTTCAAAGAGCAGCTGAACACCAGAACAGAGATTAAAGACAGAGGAGGGAAGGATATAATACGGTCAGCAAATCCTGGCCTCTCTTGTAAAATCAGGTGAGTCTGATCCTGGTTTGTTTTCATCTGCTTTCCAATTTCTTGGAGTGCAACTCTATTCTTTTACAGAATATTTTTTTTTGTCTACCCACCCCATGGATCACTGTGAAGGCATGGAGGCAAGGATTTGTCAGGTCCTCCTGTACACCACACACTTTGTTGTGGTGGGGTTGCACTGGCCCATCACACATGTTTACACCCATCCTGGCATGGAAGTTGAGAAAGAGGGAAGTTTGAGGTGACAGTTGAGAAAGTGCTGGTTTTGTAATGATGACCTCTGTCTTGTTTTCTTGAGTAGTATCAAAAAACAGGGCACGTGACCATGGAAGGTGCTGGCAGTGCTGATGTTTCCATGTGTCCTGTACTGCCCTGGAGCCTCAAGCCATAATGGCCCACCTAAGAGTGCCAATCAGTGGAGAGCAGACATTTGTTTTAACTATGTTTTACATGTTCAACTGGCTGGAGAACTTGCTAATTTTAGAGACATCCTGGTTCATGTTCAAGAATATGTAGATTCAAGCACAACGTCTATTGGATATCTATTAAGTATAACTAATATCTTTGCAGAATATATCAGTTAGTCTTCCTTAAGACATGCTGCTTTGATGCCAGATGACAACATTACAAAAGAAAAAAAAATTATCTTTAAGGGCGTTTTGTTTGCTACACCCAAGTGCTTACAGCAACCAAATGATCTTCATTATCTCTGGATCATGAGTCAGCACATGTTTATGGGGATAAGCAAAGACTGTAATTTCTGTTACAAAATAGTGATGGACACTATGGACAAGTATTTTGAGGTATGTTAGTGGCTGGAAAGTATTTTTCCTAGTGCAAGTTAAAAACTGAGTGACAACAGGTCTTATTTTTTGAAATTCTACATAGCAGTGGGGAGCTACTTGAGGAATTCCTAGGGAGCTACAATGACGTGTGTGTTTCTGTGAATCCAGTCTTGTCTGAGGGTGCCATGCAGGGAGTGTAACTGAAATATCTGTAAAGGGAACATGCAACCCATCAGGATGCTAACAATGCACATGAAGTCATTGCTTTTTGCTGTTCAGGGGCTGTTGCAGTGCAAACTCGTAACCCTGCTAATGGAAGGTTTGTACAGGGGACCATGCAGCAATAGAACTGATACAGAGACTTCGTTGGTGCCCTTATGGAAGAGCAGATTGTGGCTCAGTGTTAAAAATGAGCTCCATTTTGTTTGTTTGAACAGAGATCCACTGTTTGGTTTTTTGGTTGGTTTTTTCTTTTCACTCCACAGAAATTAACACAGCTTATTTTCGGAGACTGGAGAGATAATCTATAATGCTGTAGATAGTTTGCCGTGTCTTTTAATTAGTTAGTGATGCATCAGGCCTTTATAAGAAAAGCAATATTTGTCTTTTGTTTCCAAGAAAGGGAAAATGCTTTTAAAATTAGATTAGTTCAAAGCAAGGACAATACCTTTAAGCATATAATAAATAATGCCACTGCATGGCCGACCTGGAGTTTCTTTGCTGCCCAGCCTTGTACTTTTTAATATCTAAACCAGCCAAGACTTTTAAGTGTCATCATAGATTTATTTTAATTATCCATAACTTTTTTTCATATGTATGCTTACCTCACCTCAGTTTGATGTGATTTTTTTTTTTTTTTCATGTCAGGTAATATCTTAGTACCCATCATGGCTCCGAATCTCAGCTTCTTGTTTCTAAAATCTGATTTACTGCATTTGCTTTATTTTCCTGCCCAGAAAGAAACCCAGCCAGTTTTCAGAAGATGAAGATTTTGCTGAGGAAGTGAGGCACAGTCATCATTGTTGCACCTTGTCATTATTTGTAATCCTTCTTCAACAGATACCATCACTCTGGTCATGTGTAATATCAGTGATTTCCAGAAAGAGACAGAGGCCCCTGCTGGCAGAGATTAGTTTTGTTGAAGCAGTGTCAAATGGTTTAACACACAAACTTTTCTTCTCAGTGAGTTGCACTAGGATTTCAATGTCATTGTTTTTCACTTTGCACGTAATCAGAGAGGAGCTATATAAGAGAAGGCACTCTTGACAAAGCAATCTATTGTAGGAGTTTCACTCCAAGAGGATTAAAGAAATGCTTAAATTTCAAAGATAATCATGTGGGCCTTTCAAAAGGACTGTAGATTTTTTTTAGGCTGATTTAGAGGTTGATGTGATAATCATCAGACCTGCAGACAGAAGTCTTCTCAGGTATCACTAGTTTTGCTTGAAAATGTTGGCAAGCCATTATGTTCTCTCTGAAGTCTCCTGACCGAGAGTGGTATCTCAGTTTGGCAAAGTGGCAGGGTGTCCTAGGCTTACAGTTTGGCAGTCCTGGAAAAGTGGTTGTGAAATTAAATCCTGTAAGTCTTTTTCTGCACCTTTTATGGGTTTTTCTTTATGGATCCATTGTGAAATCATGAATAAGGCTGTCAAAGTTCTACAGTGAAGTCAAAGAGAATTGGCTTCCAGTAATGTTTTGGTTGGACAAGTTTTTAGCTCTTTATTAGATGCAACCAGATTAGACACATTATACCTTTATTTCAGAAGGTTCTCATCAATGTTTTTTTCAAGGCTTTTTTCAATAAATTTTTTCAGTGGCATGAGACATAAAGAGAATGAAGGGGATATTTCAGTGCTAAATGTAGCAAAAATTAAGCAAAAGGTCCCACCTGCTGTCTCTAAGCTCTGGTCTTTCATCCCTTAGAATCTGCATCCGATTTTTAAAAAGGAAATTTTGAAAATAGGTGTTAGATGTTTATATAAATTATTAGAATATAAAGTACATGAGGTTTCTTTCAACGTCTCAAACATTTAGGTTTCTTTGGGATGAATTACCTCAATATATACATTTCAAAATTTTAGCAATTAGAGCTCGTCTAATTTTAGAGCAAGTCCTCATCTGGCCTCATTCCTCCTACGGTATTCTATGATCAGCAAATAACAGCATGCATTAATTAGTCTGGGAGAGATATTCCAAGAGTTAATTAAAGTTTGATGAAAATTTTTCATTAAGTGATTCCTTGTCCTTTAACCTTTGTGGTGCAAATTGCCAGGTGCGAAATCCTCATGTGCTCCTACAGCCTAATCCACCTCCCTTCAAGTTCACTAGGTCTCTGTTCTGAGTTCAGCCAGGGCCCACCAGAATCCTGGTGGGATGCTTTGGAGCAATTCAACGTAAAGAATGTGTAATCAGGCAGCTCTGGTCATTGGCAGATATTTCTTCAATATTTGACAAGGAAAAGAGTGTTTCTTTCCACTTGCTCGAACATTGCAAGCAATAGCAAATGCTGAGATGAAGATAATGTACCTTTAGGTGTCAGGAGAACATTATCTCAAAACTGAGAAAAATCGGGAAAGGTGAGGGAGGGGAAGCAGGCTTGGTGCAATGAAATTGCAGAATTGAGAAACTTGGCTAAGAAGGTTGTTGAATTTTCTTTATGTTACTGTTACTTTAATGATGTTTTGTCATCAGGTCCTGAATCAGTCCTATCCTATAAGCTTCTAGGGGTTATGAACTTCTGATTGGAATAGGTGGTAAACAGAGCTTGTCGGGACTGGCAGGATACATCTGCTCCCTGGAGCTTTTCCAAATTAAACAGAAGAAACTGGGGCCTCAGGGTAAACTAATAGACATCACTTGAGTCTGTTGAGTTCACGACTTCAAGAATGTGTTGTTGCACAGGCTTGATAAAATCACAGGCAAAACAGTGGAATTTACACTAACAACTGTGGTTCCTGTGGTTTGCAGCTGTACCTCTTTTCTTTATTTTTGAAAACTGTGTGGTCAAAATATATTTTAGTCCACTTATATGCTTCACAGAATTTTAGTAGTTTCTCCACTTTTTCCAAGGCAGCTGCTTTACATGTTACAAAGATGTGGTTGGAGTTCTGGTATTTATAGTTAGTGATTTAGTACAAATTTTTGTGTGTCATTGAACATTTGTTGGTTTAGGGGTGAAAAGTTGAAGCGGATGAACGTAAGAAAAAAATTTGTCCTTTTTGCATGTGATTCCTTTAGTCACCTAAACTGTCTGTATTCACAGATTAGGAATATAATTGAGTGAGATGCTCTTCTCAGGTTTACAGACCTTGCAAGGCTTGCTATGTGGGCAAACAGCAAAGGAGGGAATATTTTTCTCTTCACTCCATGTGGGCAAGAAATATTTCTGAATCTCAGATATGGCTGAATAAGGATCTGATTGTGGCCAAGTTTGGTGGATGCCAGACCCCAAAAAGCCCTTATGTTACCTTGGTCCACAGCCAAACACAGCATGTGTGGCTCAAGGTTCTCTCAGTCTCTGGTGTTCAGAGGGAGGTAGATGCTGTTCTGCTTTGAAAATTGCAGTGTGTTCCTCAGTGTGTTCATGGTGTCTGACTTCTTGTGCCCTCCTTCCCTGGTCAAATGAGGTGCAGTGTAAGATGTAGACTTAAGTGGTCATTCCTCCCTGCTGTTTCCAAGCAGGAAAATTTCTAAGCCTCTGTTAACAAGCCTGAAGATTTGCTTTGCTAGGTTTTGTGTCAGCTTGGTCATAACAGCCAGCATTGACCTTATTCTGTATTTCAAATGTGGTCACACTCAAATGCATCTGAAGTGGGTTGTTTTCTTTCTGGAAACCCAAGCCAAAAAGCATTCCACTTTTAAACCACATGGTCTCACACCATGTCTCCTTCAGGGCAACAATGCACACCTCAGTTTTTTGGTTTTTTTTTTTTTGCAGCTAAGAAAGCTTTCCTAAAGAAATTCACTAAGAAAAAAAAATGTCTTTCAGAAACAACAGAATTTAAAATGGATTTGATTCTTCAATACCATTCTCCCACATTCTTGGTATGGCAATGGCTGTTCTTGATGGGAGCTTTCATGGCTACAATATCACTTTTTAGTTCATTCATGGGGAGATTTCTTCAATCTTTACCACTAGGTCATGTCAAAACTTCAGTGTTTGATATAGGGAAAAAAAGGCAAACTGCATTTCACTTTGGATGTTATACAGCAAATTAGTGATATGTAAATAAACTGAAAAAAGTAAGGAGAAGTCACCAATGCGTTGCCAACAGGAACATGTTTTTCACACTTTTTCTGTACCAACATTTTAACAGAATATGAGTGATTGCCTCCTTTCCTTACAGGTAGATCTTGCCAGTTTGTACATCAAGATGGGTGCCAAGAACATGCCCACAGTGTTTTTGCTGACAGATGCCCAAGTTCCAGATGAATGCTTTCTTGTGCTGATTAATGACTTGTTGGCATCAGGTGATTAAACCAACAAATTTCTTGAAAGATCTTTTCCAATGACAAATGATCTGCATTTTCATTGAACTTTAAAGAGATTATTTCTCTTTCAGGTATTTGTAGGGGAAGATTTTAGAGAGGCCATATCAAGCCATCCAACTTGAGCATTGAGTCAAATTTGGTTAAGAAAGAATGGCCCATTGAGGAGACAAATTGCTAAGGCTTAAGTGTATTGATCTGGGGGAAATGAGAATGTCCCTTTGACTTAATGTTGTGTTTTCTTTGGTGTGGTTTCATTAATTTCAGGCAATGTCCCCATGACTGCACAAGCATAGCATGTAGCAGTGAAGCTTCAGCTGTGTTTTGAAGATTAGAGAATCTGGATGTGGGGGTAGGATGGCAGAAAAAAATGCACATCTGGACAGCTGAGTACATCTTGAAATATTTTTTTTTTTAGTTATATTTACTTTTGCAACCAGGCTAGTAAACAATTTCCCAACAACCTGTGAAAAAAGAACCACCATTCTGAGGGGAACATAATTTATAAGTGAACTTCCTATCAAAGCAAATTCAAAACAAAATTGTTTCCTATCCCTTAAAACAAACAAACAAAAAAAACCAAACCTGAAAAGGCATAGAGAGCAGTAGGAGACTGTTGTGTTACTAGATATATGTAGCATTATACTATAACTCTGGTTATGTGCTTAAACCCCATTGGGCTAAATACCATGTAGATGATTATTTGTCATGTGTTAATTACCCCTTTGTCTTTTCATAGGAGAGGTTCCAGATCTGTCCAGTGATGAAGAATTGAAGGTCATAGTTGCAGGAGTTAGAAAAAAAGTCTGAGCCCTGGGCCTGATGAACATCAGAGAACACTTCTGGAGGTGATTCCTGAGACTGTGACTGCAGTGGAAAGTAAGGCATATTTCAGGGTCAAGAAACACTGATGAGCTGATCAAAATAGCAACATATTTCAGTTATCTCATAACCCAGCATATGTTGGCATACTTCTCTTGAAAGCTGACATGTGGCACTGAATTTGCCTCTCTTGTGTTGCTCCTGTAATACCCTGCCTGTGTGGAGCCTTGGTGTGCACCAAGCTTTGCTCCTTAGGTCTGGCTTTTGACTTCCTGCCTGTTCACGGGAAAGTCTCATAGCTGCTCTGTGTCTCAGTTTCACTCTTGGACACACTCCAAGGCACTTGAGAGACAAGATGCTCATGAGGAGCTTGTGGTGTTGTTAGTGCAATTGTAAATACTCTTTCTCATTATGCATATAGTAATTCTAGATGCGTACTCAACTCTTAAACTTTTGCACAAATGATTGAAATTTCACAGAAAATGTTAATTCTTCCTACTTTTCCTATGCCGTATAAAACTGGAAAAATTAAAGTATCCGTGTAGGTGTTTTCAGATTTAAAACTGTTCAGCAATGCACATAATATGATACCTTAATTGCAACAAGTGTCTCTCCTAACCTCTATTTTAGAGATATTGTTTTGGAGGAAAACTGTAGTTCTCTCCTGAGAGCTGGAAAGCAGTAGCTGGGAAAACTGTTTTTGCAGTGGCATCTTTAGGAAGTTTCAGGTTATGTAGGCTTCAATTCACACATCATCTGAAACATCTGTGTAACCGATAAGAAAATGAGAAGTCTGAAAACCATTAACCCTTAAGAATGAGAATGTTTTGAAAGGGATATATGCCTCATACTTTCTGTATTAAAATAATCTGCTTGATTGGAGACTAGAAGAGTCTTCCTAGCAGATTATTCCACAGTGATCCTCTGTGCAGGCTCTCTGAATTTTCTGAGGTGTTTAACCACTACTGTTCTAAAAAGCATTCTGATTTGACTATGAGTTTTTATCAAGTTCTTACACTTTATAACATAGCTTTTCCCTCTCCCTCTCCCTTCTTCCAATCTTACTTAAGTTTTGCTGAAGTTACCTCCTAACTCTAATTCTGTTGCCATTACTTCTTCATTCCACAAATTTATTCTGCAGCTTAAAGGCCAATAGAGACTTGTATACAATCTAGTGTGACATATTCTGTATAATTTTCAATTTACAGACTTCAGTGACATGGTCAATAATGGTGCTTACCTTCTGCATTTTTCTTTGTGACAATGCTATTTGTCTCTGTTTCATTACTATTGCTTTTGTATACTTTTTTTAAGAAAGGACGGGGAAAAAAATTATTTCTAATATCTCTCTTCATTTTCTCCTTTCACATTTTTACCCTTTATGTTTTCCTTATTCCCACAGTAATTTCTTCTTTTCTTTTCTTTCTGTTACTTTTTTTTTCTTCTCTTTTTAAGGGCTTTTTGAAAGCCAGCTTTCAAACTCCTTTTACTTTGCAACAATTTCACCAGTCCCCTACTGTGCAAATTAGCACTTCTGGAGGCAAGAACAGGAGATACGTATTCATGTTGCAGGGAAGCAAAGTAGTGACATTATAGCACTGAAGGAGACATAAATTTCGTGAGTTAACACACTGGTAGATATCTATATGAACTTTTAGTTAGTGCAGGGTGACCTATCAACTCCTCATTTCTCTAGATTTTAAAAATGAAATCATAATGTGAAAATATAATGTGAAAAAGAACAAAAGGGTGAATTTAGACATTTTCATAATGTTAAAGCTCAGTCAAGTGATATAGTCTCATTTTTCCATTTCATTTTAGAAAAATCAACATCCTACATAAAGCCACATTTTCCCTTGAGCTCATTTATAATCTTACATCCTGCAGTTCTGTTTATGCTGAGGGATCTGTAGCTCAGGACCAAAACTACACAGTGCTGCTCTTTGAATCTCTTTGGGTTTGTGTTGGTTTTGTTTTGCTTGTTTTCAATCTGGACATTGCAATCAATTCTGCTGTCAATGTACTGAGAACACGCCATGTGTGTAGGTGCAAATTTGAGTTGAAAGCATGTCAGATGAAGACAATGGGGTTGCACCCATTATAAAATATGGGTCCACAACTGAAGGGTATCTGAGGACAGATAAGCACCTGAGAATTTCAAAAACTTTCATAACGAATGATGAAATAAATTATAAAGGAAGAATGATGCTCAAGCAAAGTTGATGAACACTGTAAATATTAATATGCTGATGGGTCAAAGGCACATACAATTTACTTGGGTTCCAGAATTCTTTCAATATCCCAAATGTCTGTGCAGTAAACCCTCTTAAATACTCAGCACATCACTAAAATTTCTTGGAAAAGTAAAGTCCAGAAGAAGCAATTATTTCTCAAAAGCACAAATATGATGAGATCAGTCAGTCTTGCTGTCTCTGGAGCTCCATCTGATTTCACTTTACTGTGCTGTACTTTATTGTACTTTGCTGTACTGTACTTGTCATGGTAATCCTTCAGTTTTTCCCCAAAGATATGAACACCCTGCCTAAATGCCTCACAGCCCTCATGCCCTACACAAGCATATCCTCAAATGAACTCTTTCCAATAAGTATGCTCTTTGCAGCATTTCATCTTTGCATGTTTTCCAGGTTCTCACTTCAGTCTCCTCTGTGCTCTTAAGCGTTACTGTATATTACAAAGTCAGACATGTTAAATGATTTTTCTTTTAACTAAATCTCTGTTATTCAGTCCATGTACAGCCAGTTTTCTTCATGAGCTGGTAATGGGTACTTCAAATGCTTGCTCCTCCACCCTTGAGCAAGTTTCTTCATAGTGTGTTTTCCTCATGTAAAGTTTACAGTCCCTCAGTGGCTGTTGTGCAGTTCCAGCATTAAGAACTAAATTTTCTAGTTTTAGGGGAATGATATTTCCCCAATTTCCTTCCAGCTTGTCATGACTACTTTACCCATCACATCCTTATAATGGTCTCCTCTTTCTATAGTCTTGTCAGGATTTAGCTGGCTCCCCATTTTCTATGGAATTTAGTAGTACAGTAATTTCATGCGTCAACCAGAATTAAAGTCAAACATCAGCAGAGTAGGTGTCCTGCATTGCCACAGGCAATCTTGTCCATATTTTTATGATTTCTTTTAAATTACTGTTTTTCATTTCCAAATCCTCTTTCATTAGGACATATTAGCCTTTTTCTTGTGGTTTATCTTGCTACTGACAGAACATATATTTTTATCTGTGAATCTGAGAGGAACTTGTGAAGCCCCATCAGAGCTCAGTTTTGGCCAGTTCTCATGGCTTTTCCTTTCAGGGCATAAATATACATCTCTCTGCTTGAATGCCTAAATCCCAGGCAAAAAGATCTTTGTTTTTAGGGTTTATGGTTCTATGTTAAACTAATACTGACCCCAGATTTGCTTTGGATTTTGGGTTTATCTTTCGTTGTTTGTTTTGTTTGATTCAGTGGGGAGTAGCTATCAAGGATTTCGAAGTTCTGTAGCACAGAAAACATCTGTTTCTTCTGTTGGCAGGCTCTTACAGAGTTCCTCTTTCTGTATGAAACCTCCAGGCTTTTCTGATTTGGATGTCAGCCATATCTTCTTGAGCACTCAGCTGACTTTTAAGGATACATCTGTATTAATAAAATTATGAAGGGCATTTTGTGGTCCTGAGGACTAGTAGCATGAAAAGGCTGATATCCATATGGCTTAGCTTTTCCTGTGCTCTGCTCACAAAGTGATGGTGGTGGCATAGAGCTGGTTGGGGCTAATTCCTGGTCTGTGCAGCACCTCACTCCTGCTTAGTTTCATATGGAAGAAACTATGAGAGAGCCAACACTTAAATAAGATGGGCCCTGTCAGACCTGTGGCCAAGTATGTGACAAGGTGCTCTTTAGTTTTTGGTCTTGCTCTGTTCAAAGCACTTAGTGAACCTAGAGGCCTTGCATGTTTGAGATGAGCAGGAGGAGGCTGAGGCAAGAAATATCTGCACATCTGTAGTGAGAGTGACATGTGAGGCTCAAATGGGCATTTGAGAAAACAGGGGGTTTGTGTTCTTAGGAGTGGTGAATTCTACATGGAAGTTGATACTGATTTCATAAGATAATAGTTTGGTTTTTTTTCCACAATGATTGTCTTCATTACTCCATTGCATGTGTTTAAATCTCAAAAATCCTCAAAGAAAGGGATGTGTCTACCTTCAAGAACTTTTACTACATTTTTCTATTTCTAATGAAATACCGTCACTGTAATATTTATATTCTGGTTGTCTTGCAAGACATTCTCCATTTTTTTACATGGAGAATTTCATGTTCTTTGGGTTTTTCCCTCTGTCAAATTAAACTGTAATGTATAGCTTGGACAAAAGATAAATGTTTTCAAAATAAGACCTTCTTGCTTATGCAAAGATTGTTCAAAATGTAGTCAGTAATAATTACTCAATTTTCCTCACAGCTCTCTTGCTAGCAGATCACATGGCATCTTCATTATTCTGTGTGCAAAGCAAGCAGTGCACAAGGTCCTTTGTAGTATAGGGAATTGACTGGGGAGAATGCAAATGAACCCTGAAAACATGCCATTTCAAATCTATGCCTGGTGTGAATTTACCGAACTTCACTAAAGCTAAAGGAGAAAGAAGGGTTATGCTGTGGTCAGGATTTGGTTGCATTCTTTTTATTACTACCTTTTCAAGTATATGCTGTATCCTATATTTGTGTTTGCAGAAAGTGATTAACAAATAGGTAGTGATCTAATCAAGGTATTATATTATATCCACAGCTGTGCTGGAATTTCCTGCCTAACAGTACAGCATAATAAAAATCTCTTAGCTATGTGTTTTAAAGAAAAATAATGGAAATTATGAATAGTATGTCACAGTTTGAGCTCTAGGAACAGATATTCCAAGAAGTAATTTATTAAATGATTGAGAAATTGTTCTTTTATGCTTCATCATGTCATAATAATCTACAAAGTTTTGTGTAAGTAACTCATTTTACCTATCACTACATTTTTATTGGATTTGATAATTTCTCTTCATACCCTGTAAGGTTT